AGCTGCTAATCTGACAGTGCTCTCCAATGATGCATGATAATAGCACACAGAAAAGACCAGCGCGTTCCTGCTTTTCCTGCTTCAGTGCGCAAAACCTTCCGTCGTGTCTTGATCTGAGCTGCTCAGTGTGCTCGCTGGAAAGTGCTCTGTGTGCTTTCTAACCCAGTCCTCTGGGACCCCTACAACCAAGCTGTCAAGACCACTGAATACCTGGTGCTCTGTCTCTCTGGTGTTGGTCTGCCTGTGTGCAGCCACCCAGTTGCCTAATGCCATTTTAAAAAAGAATCATGTTGTCATTTCCTCCCTGTTAAGGGTGCAGCCTCTCCTGTCCATGCGTCTTATGGTACAACTAGTACTTAAACCTAAACGCTGGCTGTAGGACAAATCACCTGTCTGCAGATAGCAGCATGTTTTAGACATTGTTTATGGCAGAGTAGGGGTACCACACAGACATCCAGTGTGTGACTCACAAATCTGGACCTCCACTATCAGTACCTAATCATTCCCATTCCCTTTTTTCTTGCTTTAAATACTGCAGTGTAGGGATGCATGATGAAGTATTGGAATAAATATTAATATCAGAAGTATTAGTAAAAATATAGGTATAAATATTGGTGTAAATATTGGTATCAGAAGTACTGGTATAAATATTCATTCATTCATTCATGCATTTTATTCATTTTTCTGCATTTGTAGCCCTTTAAAAATGAATGTTATATTTCTCTGCAGTGTTAATTCTGGTGCATCTAGCCCTAATATCTATATTTTATGAATGTTTATATATCGACATCGATCACAATTCCACTATTGATGCATCCCTACTACAGTGTCAATTAAATTTTCCATTTATAAACCCTCACTATAAACAGATACTCCAGAATTACATGCAATAGTACCCTAACAGTTTATTTATTGTAAATCTTTGTTCCAAATCTAGACATCATTGTAGAACACATGATGGCTGGGACTTGAGTCTAAACAGGGTGTGAGGTTGAAACTGATCAGATTTCAGTTTTGCCAGGCAGTGATGCTGAACCCATTTGCTTTTTTAATCTGATAAGGTTTATCAAAGGTGGGACTCGGGTTTATCTCTTTGTAAATCTTACAAGTCTCTGTCATTAGTAGAGATAGACCTTTTGTTCACAGCATCAGCACTAATGATCTTCCCTTTATTTAATTTCTTATGTACCTTATCTGATTATATGCTTACATTTCTGTTGGTGGCATACATCCAAAAAGTCCTGAATACTTCAGAAATCAAGTAATGAGGGGAGAATGGGGATCGAATGTCTTCTTTTTGTATCAGTCACTAATGTATTTAGGCTAATTGATTCCATAACCACATACCCAAATGATCTTACTGGAATAGTCATGAGTCATGAAGACTCTGTTGTGGATACTGTATAGCAGATAAATGGTTCTACACTAAACACGTATTTAAGAAATTAAAATCTTTTAATACACCATTTGTTTTTCTTTGGATTATGCATTAATTTTCATCTCACATGTGTGTTTTATACGTTTTTAAACCTGTTGTAGCCTAATTGCAAAAAAAAAGTGTGAAGACAGGAAAGAGGCTCAAGATTTGAAAGTGACCCAGGACAATGGTCAAGCCTTGAACCGTTTGTATGTTGTTACCACTTATGTTGTTACTAAGGTTAGTGGGCTTTACATACATAAAGTACTGTCTTACGTACCTACACAGAGTAATGAATGAAGAGACTGGTCACTCCAGCATTGGCTTTCCATATCGTTGCTGTCATATCTCCTTTTTTGACATTACTTGAAAAGGGTAGTCGCCCTTTATGTTGTATCAAAATTTCATGATGAATGGAGCAACAGAAATGGTCCAGAATTACTTGGAAAAAAAGGTATTTCTCCATTTACTTCCATTAAAAGTTCATAATGTTTTTCCTTCTCCTTTACAGTTACTTTTTTGGAGATATGAGGTTTTGTTCTGATAGCAGCGATATTCATAATATAATGGTGGTGCATATAGGTGCTGGGCAGATGTCTGTGTGTGTACAGGTATCAAGTCAGGAGCTAGCGTATCAGTATATTGACTGATTATGTCTGAGGGAGGGACAGATTGTGGAGGCACTGGTTCAGAATAAAACAGAAGGTGGAAATGTGTGTGCGTGTGTGTGGTGTCATTTCATGGCTACAGCAGAGGAGATGACAGGAGGAGTGTAATGTAGAGAAATGATTGACAGTTCATGTATTATTCATGCAGTCCTGTTGATTTGGGGGTGGTTGGTGGGGGCAAGGCAGACAAATGGAAAGAGGAAGATAGACAAACAGCGAAAAAGAGAAAAATAAAAATGTTACTTGCACTGCCACCATGGACTATTCTGTGAAGTATTTATGTGGTGGGGGGCACTGTTCAATTTAGCCAAAAAATGCTAAATGCTATAGTAACTGTCCATATCTGAAAGCACTTCAATATGCCTAGGATTCGGAATGACCCATAGGAGCCCTGGGAGTTCATTTCATTGGCATTTTGAACTGAAGAATATTACCTAAAGTCGGACTTGCATGTCACAGTAATTGGAAACCTGCAGAAAGCTATTATGCCGAGGATAACCGAGGAGAGACATTGATTTTAAGCTCTGTTAGATCCTGCCTTGCTTTTATGGAATGAAGCACAGGCATAGTAAATTGATTCTCAACTTAAGCCTTTTAATCATCATGAATATTAGATATTGGTAGCTAATGAACACTGCTCCATACACTACATCCATTACAGATTTCTCGTAGTATTTTCTACATCTTCGAGGCCTGTTTAGCTCAATCCCATTTTCTTAATACGATTGATTTTTATTGGCCAACACGAATGAGGAGTTGACCTTGGATGAAGTGCAAAGACCTCTGCAGTGCATTTTCGTGCTGTTTAAGCCACACTTGCTGTTCCATGGCTGTACTCTATTACTGCTACAAAGGCTTGATGTAGACAGAAGGGAATTGGCAGCTTTGAAGCAGACTAACACCTTTCAAACCGCAAGCTCCAGT